TCTTCTCTTCTCTTCTTTTTCGGTTTTCAGGAATTTGCATTTAAAAATAAGAACTTGAGAATTGTACACCCTTGCTCTGCGCTTTATTTCTTGTAGAACATGTGTTGTTAGGGATGGCTATTTGAGAAAGAAAGCCTCCTATTGCAATTGTCTTATGCTTTACAGCTTTATCATTTTTGAACAAAAAAATTTTACTGGAACCTTACTAGTAGCCGTTGGTTGGCACATGTTCCCTTCCTTCTATGATGTTCCTCTGCTAACTATGGTTCTTATAGAGGTAGTTGTAATTCATGGTAAATTTAAGTGTAGATTTCATTGTCCCATGTTTTTCTGAATGTTATGCTTATAACATTTTCTTTGCTTTGCTTTATATTTAGTTACAAGCCATTCAATTAAAAGTATGGTCTTGCTATTGTACAGGAATCAAGCCAAGCTTTGAGCATGTCTAGAATACGCTGCATACTGCGTGGCATAGATTTCAAGATCTTTTTATTTCTGTTTGCACTTGTTCCTACTTGTGTCTTTGTTATCTATGTCCATGGGCAGAAGATTTCATACTTTCTAAGACCCCTGTGGGAATCACCTCCCAAACCATTCCATGATATCCCACACTATTATGGTGAGAATGTCTCCATGGAAATCCTATGCAAACTCCATGGTTGGGGGATTCGTGAATACCCAAGGCGTGTTTATGATGCAGTGCTGTTCAGCAATGAGCTGGATATTCTTACAATTCGGTGGCAAGAGTTGCACCCTTACGTGAATCAATTTGTTCTGCTTGAGTCCAATTCAACATTTACTGGACTGCCGAAGCCTTTGGTATTTGCTGGCCATAGAGATCAGTTCAAGTTTGTTGAGTCGCGACTGACTTATGGGAATATTGGAGGAAGATTTAAGAAAGGAGAAAACCCATTTGTTGAGGAGGCTATACAGCGAGTGGCACTGGACCAGCTTCTCAAAATAGCAGGAATTTCTGATGATGACTTGTTGATAATGTCAGATGTAGATGAGATACCAAGTAGGCACACTATCAATCTGTTGAGGTGGTGTGATGATATACCTCAGGTTCTTCATCTACAGTTAAAGAACTATCTCTATTCTTTTGAGTTTCTGGTCGATAACAACAGCTGGAGAGCATCAGTGCACAGGTATCAGACGGGTAAAACTAGGTATGCTCATTATCGTCAGACAGATGACATATTGGCAGATGCAGGCTGGCACTGCAGCTTTTGCTTCCGTCGCATCAGTGAGTTCATATTTAAGATTAAAGCATACAGCCATTTTGATAGAGTGAGGTTCTCACATTTTTTGAATCCCAAAAGACTTCAGAGAGTAATTTGCGAGGGGGCTGATTTATTTGACATGCTTCCGGAGGAGTATACCTTCAAGGAAATCATTGGGAAAATGGGGCCGATACCTCATTCCTATTCTGCTGTTCATCTTCCATCCTTTCTTCTGGAGAATGCAGACAAATATAAATTCCTCTTGCCTGGAAATTGCTTAAGAAAGAGTGAGTGATTCTCCTCATTAACTCTGCTTGTCTACTTCTGTAAAGCCCTGTGGTGATTCCTCATGAAGGGTTCTGCAGAACAATGAATGATGACTGAGGCATGCCATCGATGCAGCAATGGCTCCTGTCCAGCTAAGTTCATTACCATCACAACTGATTCGGAAGTTGGACTAGTGCTTTGAATTTCTAGATAGATTAACGTATCTTTGTATATAACTTCTTTGATTTTTGAGGTTTTACTTCGAGGGTATTACATTCACTTAGCTGCGATCATGATGCTATAACAGGGGGTTGTTGCAGACTGCCTGTGTTAGATTGGAATGATATGAGTACCTAATACATTAGTTTGAGGTTCCTTGGATTTCCCTATGTTGGGAAGTTTTGTCTTGGATATCTGAACCATATGAATGCGTTTAGATCATTTTCTTCATACATGATAAATGACTCTCTATACTACAAAGTACGGTTGTGATAGAATTAGTATGATACGTCATGCGAGAAAGCTCGTCCCCATACAACCGACTACTGCAATGAAAGGCTTCTATCTATACCCTCATGATAAGGATTTAAACTTGGCACTTCTCCGTGCCACCCCCCCTTCACAAACCCAGGCCACTTTTCCTCCTCCATTGGAAAATTTTTTAAAAATAAAAGTAGTTTTTCTTTTGTTTTGCAACCAACACATTTTCACATGTGCAACGGTATTTTTGAAAAATGATTTTGGTTTTGTAGTCTAAGCAGAATTAGATTGGTAAGTTGAAAATCCTTGGATGGAAGGAGAGTCTCAATATCTCCATTTAATTATTTAAATTATTTAAATTATATAATATGATATAATGCAAACTTCTTTAATACATTTTCGTTTTTGGAATCAATTCCAACTTTATAGATTTTCATCTTTTGGAAAATTATTATATCCAAAAGGCATAGAATTTATCCCAGCATGCGTTTTGAGCTACTTTTGCATTTTCTGCTGTTTTGTGAGCGTAAGATGCTATCTCTAGATCTCATGAATCCAGAAATTAACCTATAAATATCAGTTGGAACTTCATTAAAAAATGCAAAACCACCATAAATCACTCAATTGTTTCAACATATAGAAAGAAATCATATTTAACAATTTCGCACAAGGTTTTGGACCCCAACAACTATTCCTCTGCCCAATAGAAAACCCTGGGAATCCCAAAATTAGTACCAGGAGTGTGAGGACAATTGCAGTGTCCAAAAGATGCGCGGCCAAATATGTTCCAAAATGGGTGGGAAGGCAAAGCCACCGCAGAGTACTGGAGGACGCTGGCGTTCAAGGGGAAGGGTGGCGGAGGTATGTTCCAAAGTGGGTGGGAAGGCAAAGGTGCCATATGTACAAGCGTGTATTGAGGTAACATGACAGAACTCGATAGACATGTTGGGTGGAAAATCCCATATTGAGTACGAAGAAGCATATAGGTTAAATTTAATGATAATTATTCTACCTATTGTTAATTGGTTTTTAAGTAGATATAAATTTTGTGTTGAAACTCACATACTCAATTTTCATGTAAGGATGTCTTATAGGCTTATGGTGAGCCAAGCGAATCCTATTTCCATTTATTTTTTGGTGTTTCCCTGCGTTTCCCTTCAACTTGTTTCAGCAAGAAACCTTTTTGGATGATTTCTTGGATTACTTCCTTGATCCAAGTCAGGATAAGAGAGAACTTGTAGCTGTAACTCTTTGTTCCATTTGGAATAACCGTAACAGCTGCATCTATAGGTTTTCTTGTTCAACTCCTGATAAAACTATAAAAGCTATAAAGAACTACTTGGCAGAGTACAGAGAAGCAAAAGAGCGGGATGCAGATACTGTTCAAGAGTTGGGACAGCAGTTCAGCAGTGTAGAATCAGCCAGGGTTCCACCACCTGAAGGCACCACTAAAATCAACATGGATGCTGCAATACCAAATCAGTAGGATATAGCTAGCCGAGGGGGTGGTCCTAAGTGATAGCAGTGGCCACGTGTTGGGGGGCTCGTAAGAGGACTCAAGGTCATCTGGAAGATGTTACTCAAGCAGAGGTCGCAGCAATTTGCTTTCAACCGCAGCTAGGGAAGGAATTTGGACGCAAGAATATCATTGTGGAGTGTTGAAGTAATGTGAGTTATGGCAAAAAAAACATCCAACGTCGAGAAAAAATATGAAAAGAAAGAGTGATTTAAGTATACGAAAATCCATAAAATTATTATATTAGTCTTTTGGTTTCAACATGGTGTCAAAATATGTGATTGGTTTTTGAATGTCTCCCTGCTAAGCCATATCTCCCCAACAAGTGGGTATTAGAGCCATTGGCATGAGTATACCCACAAACCGTGTATGTATGTCAAAAAATAAAAAAGTAAAAAAAACAACTTGTACATGGGAGTGAATCACAGTTCACAAGTGAAAAGGGAAGCGTTGAAGCATGTTTCCTTATGAGTTGTGGTAAAAAAGAGTCCCACATCTAGAAGAAAGAATGATTTAAATATATAAAGACCCATAAAATTAATAGATTAGTTTTTTAGTTTTAAGATGATGTCAAAATATGTAATGAATTAACAAATATCTTTTATTAGGTTAGATGTCTCCCCAACAGATTTAATTGCAAATTGCAAATTTCTGCTTGTTTTGTGGGATAAGGAATTGAAATCTCCGTTCCAAGTACCTATCCGTTGACATTCCCGGAGCAAAATGGTTCAAGAATGGCAGTTAAAACAGCGGAGGAATGAAAATATTTAGGGGAAAGATTCACAAACCAAGTTAAAGATTTGACAGAATCATAGATGGAATCTGATATTGACCTAAGATAGATATGTTAGAGTCTAATGAAGACCAAAATTGGCCTTTAAACTACCCACAAAACATGTCACTATTTGAACCTAAGACATCCTATTTTCACTAAAAAAAATTGTCACTTCAGTTGTTGGTATGAACCTAGGTAGTTCTTGGAACTGTTCGGATTAACTATTGAAATTTAACTAATGGTGAATAATTGATTATTAAAACTGATTGGCAAATAGCAACAGTGCAAATAGTAGCTAATATATATATATTTTTTAAAGCAAACTTGATTTTTAATTATTGAAATACAAAAAGTACTCCTAACTCATTATATTACATACCATTTATTACAAAAACTTGTAACTCTCTCTATTACAAAATAGTAGCTGATGGTTAATAGCTATTGTTATTTGTTTGTTTGCCAACACATCTTTGTCAAAGATATAACATTTTTTGGCCCGCTTGGAATGGAAGTACAACATTTTTTTTTTTTATGGAATACTTGTATCATTACTATATCAGTATAGATAACAGTGGGTAAAGACCCAATCCATGCTCCTTCCCATGGGGAGAGGGTGATTACAGTTCAGCTAGCCTATGAGCACTCATATAAAGTCTCTCCTGACATATTTAAATTTACACGAATCAAATAAACTAGCTTAGCTGCACTAGTCTTCAACAATGGCTCCATACGATAGATAACAATGATCGGATGAAGCAGCCACTTGCACGGCTTGCATGCTATCAGATTCTTGTTGGGGAGATATCTAGTCTAGCCAGAACACAAGGTGACCCATTATATATATTTGGATATTATTTTGAAACAAAAAAATAATCCATTAATTTTATGGTTTTGACATATTTAAACTATTTTTCTTTTTCGACGTCAGATTCTTGTTTTCATCGTAACTCACAAGAAAGCATACTTCAATAAGCCCAAGTTTTCAAATTTTGAGAAAACTACGAAACAAGAAATCCTGTAAATTTTGATCTTCAAGGGCGGTGAGGGAAGTCAAGAGACATACGGCTCAGAATTAGATCAAATTCTTCTGCCGAACAATATCCGTCTTTCTCCACTTTTTTCCCTTTTTTGATAGATCCGTTTTTCTCCACTTGAACTCCCATTTCCTTTGCTTACGTTGGAGATTCCTAACGTTATGAAAACACGTTTTCCATGTTATGATTTTCGTGCGGATGAGCATATTCTTCCCACGTCTCGGTTCCTTTAGCCACCAAAAGTTGGCTTAGATTCTAATTTGATAGTAACAAAAGGAAGAGAATTAGATTCAATCTTATCCTAACAACTAATAATAAAAACTATGAATTTATGTATAAAATGCGACAAAGAACAAATCATAATCACTCAAAATAGATCAAGATGTTTAGGCACCACAAGCACCATCAACATGCCAAGCCCCATCCCAGTTGGGGTTGGGATACCTCAACTGATGATTTCCAGGTCTATGATACCACAGTGTATTCGATGCCACAACAAGTTGTCCATCATCGGCAGGAGTATCCAAAGGTTCACAGAACGATCAACTATGACGAAGAGGAGCAGCGTCTTCTTCATGCTCTGCAGACTCTAAATGAGGAGCGTGAGCGTGATGAGGCTGCTCGTGTCAAGAAGCGTGAACCTGATCGTCGAGTTTATCAAGAAGATATTGATGAAGAGGCTGATGAGTTTATTAAAATGGAGCACAAGAAGTTTGCAAGCAGGTTGATGTCCATGAAGACTGGTTGAGAACCAGTGTGTATGTAGGCCATGTACAGGCCAATAACTATATAGTTTTTATGATATGTACCAAAGAGAAATAATGTGTCAAAGCTCATCTAGCTGTGCTTTTAATTCACAGAATGATATCTCAATTCAGTGTATAAATTAAATTAATGCATACTCTCAATTGTCTGGAGATCAAAATGAAACTACGATACTAGCGCCTTGAATAAAAGAAAATACTTCTACATACCAATAAAAGCTCAAAATCAAATCATTATTAGCAAATAGACATGACTCATGTATAGGCACATCAGCCGATCTTTGGCACAAAAGCCATTACCCTCTTAAGATTTGGAAATTTTCAAATCCAAACCCATCTCTCAGCAATTATACAATGTTTTCGTTTGTGGATTAATAAGATTATTATTATTGTTGTTGTTTCCCTTTCCTTTAGCTAAATTTGACTCACACATCAGTATATGTGTAATTTCTGCTTCTAAATGTATGCTTTGCCTCCTGTTTCCCCCTGGATATTAGTGCCAAGTTGAGGGTTTGAACCTCAACCTGCTTTCCCCCCTCATCCTTCCCTGTGAACCAAAAGGAAAAAATCTTCTAAATGTGTGAACAAAACTCCAATTGGTCTTACAAATTAAAAAGGGCTCCCCTTCTGCTCCCTTCATATTCATTTTGCTATTGCATTACCAAGTTCTTCAGGCTCCAAGGTATCCATATAAATCCTGTCTGAATGGACAAAATGGTGTCCTTGGCTAAACTCAAAGTGCCGCAAGGCATCTTGTCTGAATGGACCAAATGATAGTTTTAGTCAACCTCTCCAAATTTGACAGGATCCTGTTGTAGATCTTTGACTCTCTGTTCCATCACTGAGTCCTTTGAGGGAGAAGTTTCAAGATTTTTCAAATCCAGATACCAACCAAGTGGCAGAGTTTAATCCGCTTGGGTAGCTTTTAGGGCCCATTTATGTGGTCTCCCACATAGATCTTTTCCCAACATCTTTGCTCAATTAAACACAAACTTGGTGCATCCAAGATTTAGATGGATTTGGACCTCACACTTGTTTCCCTAGAGCATAGTCTAATTTAGATTCGTCCTAATGGTTCAATTAGGACCATTCCTGATCTTTGGATGGATAGTAATCAGCCATCAGAGTCAAAAGAAATGCAACTTCTACAATTCATTAAGATATCAATGTTGATAGAAAGAACATAACATCAAGGAGTAAATGCACATTAACTCGATTAAAACCAAGAGTGAAAAGAGTTGGTAAAAACTACCACCACACACTATGGGCAAAAACCAACATTTAGTTTTTCACCTTACAAAATTGATAGATTTTAGTCCCTCACCTTATAACATGACAGTTTTAGCCCTTTATCTTACAAAATTAGTAAGTTTTAGCCTCCCACCTTACAAAGTTAGTAGGTTTTAACTCTTTAGCTTATATTATGATATTTTTAGCCCCTCACTAATACGAATTAAAGAAAATAGCACTCACCTAACATCAGGTTATAACGTTCTACTAGTTTTGTTAGTTAACTGTTAATATCCGTTAACATTTCGTTATAAAAAATATGAAATTTAAATTTAATTTTATTTGTTAGTTTCATTAACAGAATGCTAACGGATACTAACAGTCAACTAACAAAATTGACAATCAACTAACAGAATTAATAGAATATTATAACCTAATGTTAAATAAGGGTTATTTTCTTCAATTCATATAGATAAGGGGTTAAAAATGTCATAATATAAGGGGAAGGACTAAAACTTACCAATTTTGTAAGGTAAGGGGTTAAAACTTACCAATTTTGTAAGGTAAAAGACTAAAAGTGTCATATTATAAGATTATGGATTAAAACCTATCAATTTTGTAAGGTAAGGGACTAAAAGTTGGTTTTAACCCACACTATGTTGTTTATTTCATTGCTTTGTTTCATGCTATTACAAATGTGTGGCTTATAAATCCTTCTCATTAAAATATCGACTAATACATTATAGTTACCCAAGAAATTTTAAATTACAAGTTATAAGTAGTTAATATAATCATGTTTGGTTGGTGGGAGAAGCTAATGTAATTAAAACATAAAAATAAAAATAAAATATTTTAATATATTTGTTAATGTAAAAAATATATATAGCATTAAAACTTAACAATGTTATTTCAACTTATTTTTACTTCTAACCAAGAAATAACTATTACACTAACCAACCAAATAAGCCCCTGAAGTTTCAATGAAACTTTCACTTCGAGCATGTTAATTAACTGTTTTATCCACAGACTAAAACAAAATGACCCAGTTAGAGATTCCTGGACATCTGTTGCTACGGTTGAAGCATAGAAAATTTGTTACTTGCTACATGCTATGCTAACTAAACAGAAGATCTCACAACTTATTGTTTCAAAAACTTCTTTTTAACAAAAAAAAAAAAAAAAAAAAAAAAAAGAAGAAGAAAGAGAAGTTTTCATAAAGGAAAAAGTGCGTAACTTTGACGGCAAGGCGTACGGGAGTCCATCCCATCTTCATGTTTTACAGTCCACTCTTTCACAAATTCTTTACCAAAGGAATTTCCCGTAAATGGATTATGTCAAAAAGCTGATGTTCTTTTCTATGATTTTACATTCACATGTCGGGCCCATCATCAGCTTTCTCTTTTCCCTTCTTCCTCAAAACGATGTAAGACCTAAAACACAGACATTCAAATTTTGTCTCTGGAAAATAGACATAGAAGGATTCGCAGACACAAGCCACATAAGAGTGAAAACTCATCAATCCCTTCATTCTCTTTATTCTTATTTCTGTGTGCCTTGTACATGTGTTTTTGAGTTTTGAGTACTGTAAACACACAAAAGCAAACAAACCTCTAATATTTTGCTCAAAAAACAAAGGGACAAAAAAAGGGAAATACAGAAGTTAAAAGACTTAGAGGAGCAAACATTAACTCCTGTAAATTGCAACCCCTTCTATCTAGTGAATAGATCGACAGAGAGGACAACTACTGTTCTTGCCATCAAACCACTTTTCCAAGCAATTTTTGTGGAAGAAATGCTTGCAAGACAACTCGCTCACCTCCTCCTCAGCCTCAAACCTACACAAACACACACAACACTCCATCCACTCACCGCTGCCGCTACCTCCGCCGCCGCCACCGACGACGATACCACCACCATCACCACTGCCACCATTATCATCGCCACACAGAGACTTGAATCGGGTAATTGAGATCCTCCGTTCTCTGGCATTCTCCTGCGGACACCCATCTTCGTCCTCCTCTAAATTGGAATTCCCAGTTGCACCGACGACTTGAAGCAAAGATCTGAGCATGTTCTTAAGCAAAGCCACGGATAAAACCGTGTTCATGACCAGCACCGGCAGAACCCCCTCGGCTGCAGTGGGAAAACTCGAGAGACCCATTTTGATTCTCCAAAAACACACAAAAGAAAACCGGTTTTATTCGCAATTCAGTACAGAAAATCAACTAAACGTAAGGAGAGTTTTCAGAGCAAGGAACCTCAGCTTCCACATAACAGGGTTGGAGAAACAGGTGGAAGGGTACGTTCCGTTTTCACCAGCATAAACAGTGAACGGAGCGGGGTAATAAATACAGGGGGGGCGGGTGCTAACCAAGAAATGAAGTAACCGTGGTTTGTGAGGCTAACCATGGTGATGGGGTGGGACCAGTGGGGGACACGTGGCGACACGTGTAGGGATTGTGTGAGTGAGTGATGGGTGGAATGAAGAAACAGGTTGCGGTGACAATTTCACAGGAATGTGTGAAAGGTGAGTTGGGAGAGGGCACGTGTCCCTGAAACATGGAGCAGCCAATGAGGAGGTGCCTGGTAGTAGGGGTTTGGGAAGTTTCTTGATTTTCGGGAGCCGCGGTTTTGTGTCACCGTTTTCTCACAATGTTTTGGGTTCGCGTAATTTGTTTTGTATTGCCTTAGCGTTGGATTGTATGGTGACGAAGTAGATAATGATAATCTGTCTTTTAGGAAAAAAAAAATGGTGCAGTTTGATCTAATATGAACCATACAAGTGTAATTATTGATTTGAGAGAGTTTGGAATGTTATAGTGTTATACCTTCTACTTCAAAATTAATGGTCACTCTTTTGTAATCCTACCATAAAAAAAGGTTTAAATTAAAATGGCAAAATAGGAAACTTTCATTAATAATAACAAGAGAAAATGAGCACTAGGCCTAGAGGCCCAATGGCACTTGCCATTGCAAAGTGCATTTCCCTTTTTCGGCGGGTTTCGAACCCGCCCATGTACAAAAAATTCAAAAAAAAAAAAATAATAACAAGAGAAAATGAGATATTAAAATGTTCATTGAATTATTATTATTAAATATATATATAATATAATGTAAATTTCAACTTTATTACATCCGTTTAAGGAATATTATCATTTAATGTCCTTACATTAAATGTCATTAACGGCCAACCGGGCCTGTGGCTCAATTGGTTAGCCCCCAAGCTTTAGGGCTTGGGTGAGGCAGAGGTCAAGGTTTCGAGCTCTGCCACCGCCGTAAACTCCACCAACTTGCGACCTAATGGTCGCACACCTCAAAAGAGGGAGTGGAACGTTCACTTTCTTGAAAAAATTTCAGTTGCTAACAAACTAAATTTACTAACTTCCTAACCATCTACCTGGTAAAAAAAAAAAAAATGTCATTAACGGTTTTGATGTTCCATAAAAATTACATTCTTAAAAACAAAATCTCAACTTCCTAACTATTCTTAGAGTAAACATGAAATTTCAATGGGTTAATAATTGTTTTCTTAATAGTCGTTAAAGGATAGGAGAAGATGGAGTACTACAAAAAGGTACTCTTTAATGCTGCGAAGTTTTCTCACGGCCAAAAGGAAAATACAAAAAGGTTTTCTATTGAAAATTAAATTAGGTCTTGGAGCATAATTATCTCGAGGAGACTTTGCAACCTCTCCATTCCTATTGATGATACAAATTATAACTGGATGCTTGCAGAAAAGAGACCTCATTATATTCACGCTTCCTCTAAACCGACAGGATCTCACCATTATTTTTAATTCAAAAGGAACGACGAACAGAAACCTAAAATGATATGAATTTTATCAATAATTTATTAATTCCAATGTGAAAAAAATTTAATTTCTCTTGAGTATGATTTTGAATTTAAATCTTATAAATAAAAAAATAAATACTGAGAAAAATGTTTTCTTATAAGATCGACACAATTCAATTCTAAATGAATCAAAACTCAACGTGATTACTGTTATCGATTAGTACAAAAAAAACATGTACGAATTTTTCATTATTCTCTTCTCTCTATTCCGCTAAGTAGAGGTGTGTTAATTCGGCACAAAAGTAGAATAATGATAGAATAATGATAGCTAATTGCCTTTTGGATGTACAGAATAAGCCACGATAATCTGGCATAAGACCAAGTTTTGTATTGAGGATTGAGGTATACACATGAATGATAATATTATCCTACTTTAAGAAATACAAATCGAATTATAATTGAGATTTTTTTCATTAGTTAATGAATAATATAATAGTTAACAACTATAATAATATTGGATAATACAAACTTATCTGGGAACCAAAGCAATTTGGTTATGATATGCCTGTCGATTGTGTAGGTGTCGCTTAATTAAGTTTCGATTTGGAAGGATTATTAATTCCTATTGACTTGTAATATGCTTTTTCTGCTCTTGCAAAACGATCTTGAAACATTCTCCACTCTTTTTTGCATCTCTCCCTCACCTGTCAGCAGTATACAGAGACATCATAAGGTTAATTGCAAACAAAAAGCTCAATGACGAGCTAATTTAACTCTAAACATCTTATACATTGGAGAGCACAGCATAGAAAAAGTAAGTGGCAAAGGGAGGTGGACTGACCAAGAGTATTGTATTCATCAGTAAAATGGAAATATTTTTTGTATAAATAAATGAAGATTAGTTGGGAGGTTTTACTTACCACCTGCCATGGTGCTTTGCCATTTTGTGATTCTCCCTGTGAAAGTCAAATAAATATCTAAGTACTGCATTCAAGCATAAAAGGATTAAAAGAAATTTACAGAGGGCAATCATTTTGCATTACCTGGTTCCCAAGACTGGGAACAGATTGATGCATAACCGATTGAGCATCTACAACTCCTATCTTCTCATGGGCAGGCTGTTTCCAGAAGTTACAAATTAAATTAGTAAAAAAATTCCATTGCAATTGCACAATAATAGCGAGATAACCTCCTATGAAGGAGAAAGAACAGGGCAGAGAAAGGATCCATACTTCAACACATTTTCTTAGAGCAAAATCTAGACCCCAGCCATGGACCAAGTCATTCTGTGAAATTCCCAGAGGCAATAATGATTATCCTTAACAAGCCAAATTACAACTTAAAATGATGTTAAATGAACAAGGAAACCCTCAAATACCTGCATCATATGCCACACGCACCGCCATGCGTCTCGTGAAAACACTGGAGCCATAATTTCAACAAACCTGCATTGACAGGAGGAATGAATAGAAACACTTACAAAACCCAGTTTTTTCTTTTTCACTTACTCGTCTAAATTAATATATATGGAAGTGTGGGACAGAGGACAAAACACAAAGCAATAACCAGAGTTGAAGTTAGACATACGCTGCACAAGGAGGAAGATGTGGATCTGAACACCAGCCTGGTCTCTCCTCTGTTTTTCTGAATCAAAAGGAAAAATAAGTGTTAATTCCTCAACAAGTAAAATTGAAGTTTGAACCCCAGACCCATTGTTCTTACTTGTGAACTTCAGTATCACCTCTTTTCTTTGTCATTTGCCAGGTTAACTTACTGTTAGGTTCCAGACCAGGCTGTGAGATCTCCAAGCCATGCTTCTTCACTAATTTAATATACCTGTTTATTAAAAAGTAGATAATAAGAAAAACTGAAAAAGAAAGAAGTTCAGAACAATAAATATAACGATCACTAAAATACATGTCATATTCAAGACTCACTCTTCTGCATTGAAATGCTCAACTCCCAGGTCTTCATCCCAAATAAAAATGTAGTCATAAGGAGCCACAATATCAGGATGCAAAAACCGCTTTGCATACCACCTTCAACAAAAGAAGTTTTAGGGGAGTTAAAATTTAGTTTTAACTTTTAGAAAGAGAAGAGATCAGTATATATCTAGCCTACCAGGCAAAGCATAACACAAGTTTTCCATTCAAAATTTTAGAATAAGAATTCACCATTTAGTCTGCCTCCGGGCACTAATATGTATTGCCTTCTTTGACCACTCGAACTCATCCCATTCAGTTGTTCGTCCATCATAATGAAATAGAACAATAGTAAAGTTGTCTGAAAACTGTTGGAAAAAAGATATTTAGTCATTACCCAAAGCAGGTACCATAGACACATTCAAACAAACAAAATGTAACCTCTACCCACTAGAAAGGAAAACACACCACAAAGTCAGATGGTACTTTGGATTGAGGGGGAAGGGAGGGGAAGGGGAGACAAGTGAAAAACAAGACAGACCTTCTTCACTGCTGCATCAATATTCTTCCTTTGATCATAGCCAACAGTAAATGTAACGAGATACTTTGGCTTGTTTGTCAAGTCCTGTTGATGCCAAATTGATTAAAAAAAATGAAAAAAAAAAACATCAGATGTATTTTAATCTTTGATCCATCCATTATCTCCCTCCATGGCCAGAGGAACTTAGTAATCTCCTGTTCCAGCACATATTCCTTTCCTTACCTCTTGGGCAAGACATATTAGCTACCACTCCAAATTTTCATTAACATCACTTTATTTCAACTAGGCAATAGTATCTCTTACAAAGTCAATTTCTCTCTCTCTCTCTCTCTCTCTCTCTCTGTTTTTCCCTTTTTTTCTTTTCTCACATTTTTCATTGTTTGAGTTGTAACAAAAACTAAAGCAAAAAGATGATTCTCAATTTTTCCAGATAATATGCGAATTTCAGTAATAAAATTATCAGTACAAACTGCCTTAAGGACTTAATTAAACTATAAAAAGTGATACTAGAAAGCAGACCTCATCGGGGTTGCCCCACAATCTGTGCAAGTAAAAGTCAGACTCAGCACTAACAATTCTTGGCGGTAGCCTTTCTGCACCTCGAGGATTTGATGGGACCCAAATCTTCATCAGAAATGTAAAGAAATCAAAAAATGAATCAAATTACAATATGAAAGTCAGCTATCACAAGAAAGTAATGCATTCATAAAGAAATATAACATGCAAGTAAAAGACATGCTATAGACCAGAAATTAATGGGAATACCAAATTTTCTGACACATCTAGATATTTTATGTCAAATTCCTTGATACAGTTCCCAATTATTAGAGTGTACCAACAGGAAGATTTAGAAAGAGTAATGTGAACTATTAATTGGAAATTTAGCCAAAAGAATGTAAGGCATTAGCAGAAAATGATGGCTACCTGCTTTATGGCCTTATAGGTAACGTGTAGACAAGCAGTTATGGTTGAGACATGCAAAAAGCAAGTAGCAAAAAAGTAACCTCATAGATATCATTTCAAGCAATCTTACCAAATGAAACATGCCATAAAAAAATACACAAAGGTAATTTCACTTTTCCTCACTCCCATAGGATGTCCACTGAAGTAATTCTATTCTAGATAATGGATATGTAAGCCCTCCCTCACAAATCCCTCAGTTTCATCCTTTCTCCTAAATAAAGGCAATGAAGATGAAGAGAAAGAAGAGTGCATGATGCATGAAAAATGCATAGATCAAAAAGCCTAAGTTTCCAAGAAGAAAAAGCTTATCCACTTCCATTTACTTCTCCAAAAGAAAATTTTGTTCAACAAATCAACAGGCAGCACAAGAATTGATGGTAAACAAACGTCTTTTACATAAAACCAACTTATGGCTAATTCATTGGTATAAAACAGTACTAGAGTATTTGGATACTTAAAAATTGAGCATAATCACAACTTAATATTTAGGTACTTGGTCCCAACAATGTACATAAGGCACCAACATCCTAAACAGAAATGAACCGTCAACGTTAGCCCAAACAAAGGCTCTAACTCAGGATATTATGTAATGCTAAAATCTTGGAAGTTATACCTTTGGTGTATTGGTAGCATTATGAGCTGAGCTACTATTTTTCAAAGACAAAACATTCAAAGCTTTTTGAGTTGGGAGGCCTGTCTTTTCCTCATATTCAAAATCATTGCTAGAAAAAAGAAGGCCAGATGTAATATTAAGCTGCCAAATACAGAAAAGTTAAAGAAGTTTCATTATCTAGCAGGAAAAAGTAATTAATAATTATGAATTTAGTAAAATGCATTGGAAACTATTCAGCTCATGTACCTTTGATATTGATAATGTTGGGAAAGAAACTCCTATTAAGAAGCCAAAAGCTATTCCAACAAATGTAGTCACAATAAGCCTCATACTTTCATTTGGTTTTCTACTGACAGCACTGTAGACAAATAAGATGCCACATATATGTTAAGTTACCTCAACACCTAAGAAATAAACTTTTCAAGCCAAATAATTATAAACAAAGTATTCTATCTAATTCAGAAGCCATCATAATTTCAGAACCTGCGTGAATGAAGCCCCATTCTATTTTAATTTCGCCTGATCGTAACTGAATGGCAGAGAGAAATCAGAGGCCTGTTGTCATCAGAACACTGTATATCACAATACAATACAGCAGGGAGAGAATAGCCTTGCAGCATGCACAAGCTGCCCAGGGATACCCTGACCATTCATATAAAGAGAAAAAAAAAAGGAAATTTCAAAGAATAATCAATCATGAAGAACTACTGATGCAGTAAGTTTAAAAAATGGCTGTAAAAATTAATGAAACTTGAATTAATACGTGAATGAGCAGCAGATCTAACAAGAAGACTATAGCATATGGGCCATAAATCTTGAAAATTTATAGTTGTTTTAAGTAAGCCCCCCAATCATATATGTCTAAGGTGCTACACTAATTCAATCCAGACCACAAAGAAACCTGGTTCTTACAGAAACAAAAACCAATACGAACCAACAGGGAAACAGAAATGCTAAGACCCTTAGAGCTCTTCTGCACTTAGACTGCTTAAGTATTCATGAAATCTCTACCTCTGTCAGGACAACTCAACTCCCTTCTCAAATACATCGTGCACTGCTACCTGATATTGTAGAGTGCAAGCACCCCAATAAGTAACCCTCAAATCACACAAACACTTTTAAAGTTTGAATACAATTGAGTGCAGAATCCATGCTCAAGCCTAGGAAGTAGCTACTAGTCAAAAGCTGAACCAGGAATAACCACGGCCAAGCAATCATGTGCCCCACCCCATAACCCTGAACAAGTAGCTTCATGTATCAACCAAAAAGGTGCTGCAAATCTAAATCCTGAAATCTAGTATCCATATGATCAAGTAAAGTTATCGTGTGCCCTTTTCAAATTTTTTTACAAAAACATTAAGAATCCTTAAAAAATTCTTTAAAACAATCAAATACGTAGAATTCTGATTCAGTTTAACCACTGCACTGTGCTTTCTTAGATTGGAAGACCGAATACAATACAGACGCAATACATTAACCCAGCCTTTAAGTTAGGCTGAAATTCGCCCCATTTTAAAATAATCACCATTAAATTATACCGATTAACTTTCCCCAACCAAAGATTCAACCTGGCGGATAATTGAAAAAGCATTCTGAAACGAAAATGAAACAATCGGAAAAGAAACAAACTAGTATAAAATCCTAAAAAAAAAAAAAAGATACTGAAAATTACTCGAAAGTCGAAAAAAACTGCACCAGATGGAATTCCAAATCTAGCTCAAGCGAACTCAATCAGAGTAAAAGTCACACCGGTTAATGCTACCAACACTAAAAGTTTTCCGAGCAACCAATTATAAAGAAAATCAGCAAACAAGGGAAAGAGAAAGAACTTTGACGTACCGGAAGAAAGATTTCTCAGCAGCCAAGCAAGATCTGGGAAAAAAAAAAAACTGAGATATTAACGGCAATAGAAATCACGAGAAAATCACCTCGGAAATCAGCTGCACAATCCACCACCTCGAAGAAAACCAAGTCCGTGATCGACTTTTTTTCCGGGGGCAAAGAACAGAAGCGTGAAACAAAAGGACAGAAGTTGGGACGAGAGACAAAAGGAGGAAGAAGCTTGGTGTTTTTCCCGGGAAAAAGAAGGAAAAATCAGCGTTTTGGCTTCCTCCGGCTGATAAGATCGCGTGAATGTAGGCAGCAGAGGTTTAAGGTACCGCGACGGCTGGTGCTTTTATGTTTTTCCTTTCTCCTTTTTTTTTTTTTATGAGTTTTTTTTTTTCCTTTTTTTTTGGATTTTCTTTTTTATAATCAGGTAGTATTTTTTTTTATATATAATCTGCACACTTGTTACATAAGTTAAGGATATTAAAAGTATTTATATATATTTTATTTTGATTATATAATAAAAAATAATTATCATTTATCTTTTATTTTATTTTAT